GTCAGATTTACGTCTAGTATTCGACCCTTTACGGCTTTATTGGTTCATCCAGAAGCCTCCTATACGGCGATGTTCCTCCTAGAGGTCTACAAGTAAACATCGCCTTCATACGTCTATTCAGGCGCTTAGTATCCTAGCGGTACCTTAAGCGCTTACGCACTCGTGTGGCTCCGCGTTCATCGCATAGGGCCACGTTCTGCTTACGTAGCCGTCCCGCATTACCGTGGGACATGGACTGCACAGTAGTTACGAATACGGTAGTGACTTCACACGCTCCTGTCATATATATACAGTCGCTACCATGAATATCATCTAAGTCTTCTCTCTCCACCGAACGACTACCATCGTCAGCTATCAGCCTAACCCGCTACTACTCAACCTTCAACACTAACTGCCCGGTGAGTCTGCGCTTTCATAGACATCCTAGCTATACTCGCGTCAGTCCTTTGTCACCAGAGTCCTCTGGTTCTCAAACCCATACAGCTTCATGTTCTCATCATAGACCAGCTCCCTGAGCTTGAGCTCCCCAGCCCAATTCCCCATATCTCTGAATACCTCAGCCCATTTCTCAGCCACCTGAATAGAGAGGCCAGCCTTGTCCACATGCTGCATGTGCACATACAACATCCTCTTGAGTGACAGCGCATCCTGAGTTCTGCGGCTTCTGCCCCCTGAAGGAACAGCCAGCACCAGAATCTGCGCCACCTCAGCCTGCAGGACAGCCTTGTTCTCCACCTTGTCAGAGAGCCACTGGTGGATGAGAGGGTGGATGTCATAGGACCCATGGGAGGAGTGGACGAGGGAGCACTCGAGCAGCTCCTTGACCACATCATAGAACTTCAACATGTCCCACTGGCCATGACCATCCAAGAAGCCTTCAAGGAAGGGCAGCCTCTGATTCTCGGGCCACTCTGAGCTGTCATATGCAGCCCTGAAAATCTCCTGCTGGATGCCGCTGTGGTGCATGAATGCACAGTGCTGCAGGAGGTTGACAGCATTCTCAGTCAACCTGGCAATGCTGATCTCCCATGTTGTGTAGGCATTGAACTGGTAGTCATCTGCCCACTGAACAGGTTTAATCTTCAGAAGCTGCATCTTTTGGTTCTTCAGCAGAATGAGATAATTCTGGATGGGGCAGTCATGGAAGCAGATGTATGCTCCAGCTTAAGCAATAGCCAGAGCAAAACATCCCAGTTCCTATTGATCACGTAATTATTAGCATAATCGAATGATGTATCCAGCAGAGCGAATTCACCTCCACAAGCTGGCTTGCCATCCCCTGCAAGATATCTCTGACACTCATCTCGGGATCTTGCTTGCAGAGCAACTGCAGCAGGAGATCAATAGCCTCATCCTTCTTCATCTTGTACACATGGTATGCAGACTGTGAACCGGCTCCGAGCTGCTGCACTGATTTATTCCTGGTAGTGATCAAGATGTTCCCATGGGTGCACTTGGGCATATAGGCACTCAGATTAAACGAGGGATCATCCGCGTTATCAAAGAACAGCAGCCAGTTCGACCTCTGGGTAGCCAGCCACCCCAGTGCATCCGAGTGGGATTTCCCCGCCCCCTTGGTCACAGCCAGAGCACCCAGATCGGCCTCAATGGTCTGCACATTGGATGCATCCACCAGAATCAGGTCCGTGAACATCTGTCCACCTGCACTCCTGCACTCGTCCACAAACTTGCAGGCGATCTGGGTCTTTCCCGCACCCCCGGGACCATGCAGCACGAATATGTGCTGGGTCCTTGCACTCTTCTTCTGCGAGAAGTAGGCCCGCAATAGGGACAACGCGTCCGACCTCCCAGTAAAGGTGCTGATGGGAGGAGGCACGGCCTTGGCAGGCTTGCCCACTATCCCGCCTGCCTGAGGCGCGGGGAGGCTGTTCACAGCAGCAATCGAAACACGCATCTGGGGCGCCAACAGCGCCACCACAGCCGCGTCAACACGGCGATCTACATCCAACACCTTCAAATACTGCGCAGTATGCGCCGGCACCGCGCTCGGGCTGGCGTCCCAGGCCGCCCACGACATCCCCTGCATCCCCTGGGAGACGTTGAACCGGAAATACACATCCGGGTAGTTACTAAACAGAGCAGCGAGCTCCTCGGACACGCGCTCCGAGTCGAGCGCGGTGCCCTGGATCGCCTTGAAGATTTCAGACGCCGGCGTGCGCCCGAACGCGAACGCGGACGACGCGCCGCCGGCGCCGCCGTCCTGGGACAGCGCGATGGTCGGGAGGTGGCCCGTGCCGAGGCTGACGACGACGCCGAGGCTGCCGTTCGGGAAGACGACCTCGGCCTCGCGGAGGAGGACCTGGGACGGGTTGGTGAGCCCAATGCCGCCGTCGACGTAGCGCTGGGTGACGCCGCCGTCGGAGATGTTGACGGGCTTGAAGTAGCCTGGCATGGCGAGCGCGGCGCGGGCGGCCTCCCAGACGAGGCAGTCGGGGCTGCGGTGCTTGGAGGTCATGTAGGTGCGGAGGAGCGCAGGCTTTTCGGCGTTCATGTTCTCGGCGAGACGAGAGCAGATGAAGCTGGATGGAGAGAGCGTTGGTCAGTGCTTGCGAACACGGTGTGGAAGGACGGCGGCGAGCAAAGCCGAAGACGATATGGAAGGAAGAACGACGAGACAGAATAGATCATACGTACACCTTGCACGCATTCACGTCAGAAGCGTCCTCCATCATGCGAGCGTCCCTGATACCGAGCTTCTTCATGCAGAGCTCCTGGATGAACTTGATGAATGCCTCGGACCTCGAAGCCTCGTCGCTGCCGGTGGGCTTCTTCGCGCCGACGAACACGCGGTGGTTGAGGTCGTCGTAGGCCTTGATTGCCTCATCGATTGGCATGCGGAGGCGGCCCAGGAGGAGGGCGGTAAGCCTACGAGGCAAGAGGAGGTCATCAGTCACGGTGGATGCGATCATAAGACGATGAAGAGAGATGGAAGGTGAGATGGAAGGCAGTGGAGGATTAGGATCGTGAGGCTTACCCGCCAGTGCCAGTGCCGCCGATCATGTCAAAGTAAGTATGCGGCTCGGGAGTGGTGGGCAGGTTGTCCTTCGCCTGGATGCGCTGCATGATCTCGCGAAGGATGAGCAGAGGAGACATTCCCCTGGGACCGCCCCCGCCATCTAGAGCAGTATCACGATAAGAACGACTGCGCCGTATCGTTGAGAGAGGTACTCACCGATAGACAGAAGGCGGAGGGCTTTGATGTCGTCGTCAGGCATGTTGTATTTACTGTATGTTAGTCAAAAAGACGAGCGGAAGACTTTTGGTATGCTGGTTAATCACTAGACTTTATGTCTGGAAATTGAGATGGTGGAGGTTCGAGTTCAAGATGGGATCGATAGGAACGTTTGCAGTGCCATGAGGCAGATCCAAAAGGGTCCTGCCTACTCGCTCTGGCGCCCATTCTCAGCCTGCTGCAGCTGGTTGCGTTGGCTTTGAGGATCGTTTTCCGGTCGATTGCCCCTCGGAATGCTCGGTACATCGCACGCGAGAATATACGTTAAAGCGTTGAATGAGTATGAGGGCCACGATGAAAGGCCTGAAGGTGAAAAGAGAGATGGTCAGTTTCCCATAATAATGAGAGCCAAAGGACGTCGACGCGTCCCGAGTCTTCCAGACGCGACTCCTCGTAAGCAATCGCAGACGCGTCTCGCTTCCTCCACCCGTCCCTACCTGTCCTTACACTCAAGAGTAATCGCAATGGACGACGAAGACTTCTTCACCTCCCTCGGCCGCGGCTCCTCATCCACCTCCAACGCCCGTGGCCGTGGCGGCGGCACCACCACTAACTCCTTCCAAGACCGCCTCCGCCGCGCATCGCGCCACGATCCCGACGGCCTGCCCGCAGCCGGCCCATCATCCCGAGACGCAGACGGCGACGTGCGCATCCGCGATGCCGGTGCCGACCACGTCAACGGACTCGGGCGGGGCCACGCCGCCGAAGACGGAGGCGACGATGATGAGGAGCTGCCCGACTTCCTGCGCGAGGACGTCTCGGAGACGCCGCTGCAGCAGCTCGTGCGCCATTGGATGAACGAGCGGCACGCGCCGGACATACTGCCCGTCCAAGAGGCCCTTCTCAGCGAGCTGCTGGATCATATTAGGCGTCAGGTGGGTAAGTCATCTCGCTTAGGCTTTCCTTATGCATCCACATCCTGCTCCTTTCATGTCTCTCGCGAGATATCGTGTCGTGTCAAAACACAAGCTGACTGTTACTCGAACTATGCAGAGTGAAACGGTACAGCTCCTGCGCGGTGACCCCAGCAGCTCAGAAGACGAACACTTCCGGATCATGCTCGTCCAAACAGAAGTCGAACGCGTCAAGTTCGTCGTGAGATCGTACCTCCGCACGCGTTTGTTCAAGGTGAGCTTGAGCTCACTTTTCTCCCTTCCACTCTGCTGTGCACCTCTCCCTTCTCCTACTTTCCCTTCTTCTGCAGACGCTAGTCTAGTCTGACACCGCCGATGTGTAGATCGAGAAGTACGCGCGGCACATCATGACGCAGCCCGAAATGCAGGAGAAGCTGCTGGAGAACGAGGTCGAGCACGCGAGACGGTACACCCGAACCTCGCAATGAGCTCTGACGCACTGATAGGGACGCTGCCAACAGATACGCAAACCTAACCGACCAGCACTTCTACCACGCCGTTCTGCAGAGTCTGCCCGACAGCCAGCAGACATTGGATGACGCACCGCCGTTCGTCCCACCGATGGGTAAGTCCCTTAATATCATCATCTACTAGTTTGCTGGCAACCTCGCTTACATTGACAATTTGTGTGCAGTCGCCGAGCCAGACAGGTCTCGACCAGTGTTTGTGCATGCAAGAGAAGACTGTCCTCGAATAACGCTTCCAGAGTAAGCTGCCCTTGCTTTGCTGTCTTGCCCCTATCTGACTGAGTCCTCTCAGCGGGACCCCACACGAGATGAAGAAAGGCCACATCTCGCTAACCCCCTACGCCGTCGTTGACCAGCTAGTTGCTCGTGGAGAGGCTGAGCTAGTGTAGCCGTACGGATCGACACCTTACATCACATATACCCAATGTCCGATGCGTAAAACATGTATCATGAAACCCAAATCAAATGCATGAACGTGTATAATAACGTCCCACATGTGCGAGAACGAACAAAGACGTGCAGGATAACTTAGATAGCACACCAAGCGTACATTAGCAGACAGGTCATGTCGTCATAAAGCTACAAAACTACCTTGTCAAAGTCCATCGTCCATCATCCACCCCCTCATCGCGGGGGCATATACGGCTTATCCTCCCCATCCGCTTCCACATACCGCATGCGCCTACCGCCTCTCCCACCGCCTCGCGGGCGCTCAACGTCCATGGGACTGTCCTCCTCCTCCCTCTCCGGCTCGCTCCGCACCCCGCCTTCCTCGCCCGTATCCGCGCCGTCGCCGTCGCCCTCTCCATCGCCCTCCCCGTCACCCTCTCCGTCACCTTCACCTTCACCTTCGTCCTCTTCCTCGTCCTTGTCCACCTTTCGCCGCCGCCGCCGCCCGCCCGGCGCACCGCCCTCTGCGCCGTTGCGCTTGTTCCGACGCTTCTTCTTCGCCTCGGCCTCGGCGAGGAGGTCGATGGTTCCCCCCGCCGACGGATCCGGCACGGCCTCGACGATCTCCTTGAGGAAGTCGAGCATCTCGGTCGTTTCGACTGCGTGTTTTCTGCGTAGACGTATCAGGGGATGTAGAAGAGGAATATGATCGTCAGCCAAGTAATCAAGGGAGAGGTACGACGTCAAGTCAATGTAGAAGAATGATGCGGGGTGGATGAGAGGTGGATAACGAATGCGGGGATAGAAGAGATATGTGATGATGAGTTTGAGGACGAGAGGGAAACACATAGAATAGGAGCAAACGGCACACGCACAGATGATACGCCTCCACCCGCTTCGCCCCGCGCTCCAACGTGACTTTACTCGACTCATCGACAATCATGGCAAGAAAAAGCTCGAGCGCTTTTGCTGTACACACAGCGTTCCCCCGTCCGCCGCGGCGTTTCGCGTTCCCGAAGCAGAGTACAGCGCAACAGCGTGCCGTATCGACGAATCCAGGATCAAGGAGTGAAGCAGCCAGAGGTTCCACAAGCGGGCAGCGGTACAGGCCCAGCAGTAATGCACGAAGACGAAACATGAGCCCACGGACGCCCACAATGCGCACGAGGGACTCACAGATAACGACCGGCGTCGCCTGCGCGACCTTGCCCACCTCCTCGTCCTTCTGCATGATCTTCTTGATGCGCGCCTATTTTCCCGAGGACACGTTCATGGGTTGGGTGAACAAGTCAAGACAGAACAAAGATGCATAACGCGGGTCAGAATATGAGCGCCCCGCACAAGCGCAGCAGCCACGTACGACAGGGAACTTGGTCTGCTTGTTCTTGTTCTTCATCTTCGTTTCAGCCCTCTGACTGAGCGCAACAGAGTGTGAGCGAGGAGAGAGGAGAAGGGGGAGGGAAAGAGGGGATGCTCGCGGAAGGGGGAGGATGGCGGCTAGTTATATGCGCACACAATGGCGACTCACATCTATGGCAGATAGCGATCACGTGCATCCATATCAACACCGCTTTCCAGCTCGCCGACCCTGAGAATCCGTATATCACAACCAGCCTGAAAAATCTCCTACGTATGCAACAACGGTTTTGTTGGCGGGAAGGTAGCAAATCATTTGATTGCAGCAAACTCTCTACACCGTAGACCATCAAATTAATCCAAAGGAAACACTAATGTACTTTTCAGATGTCCATGCTCATCGTTCCCTATTCTAAGCCATGACACTGGCGAGCAATGCCATACGAATCTGAAATCGTCATGAGAAAACGAACTCCAAATCAAAAAGTCTCAGCTACTCACGAAAAGTCCATAACGCATCTGCCGGAAGTAAACAGCGCGCCTCGAGTCGAAGTCGACCTCGGGATCGATTTCTACAAAAACAAACACGAAACCGAACATCAGTATCCAGTCCATCACCGCTACAAGGTAACGCACCATTAACCCTCGGCAGCGGGTGCATCACAATCATCTCCTCCTTCGCCCGCGCAAGCAGCGCATGGTCGACGCGGTACGAGTCCCGCACGCGCATCCACGCCTGCTCGCTCTCGAACCTCTCCTTCTGCACCCGCGTCACATACAGCACGTCCGTGTCGCCCAGCACCTCCTCGAGCGACTCCGTGATCGTCACGCTCACACCCGCCTTGCGCACCGCCGCGATCACGCTCGCGGGCATCGCGAGCGACGAGGGCGACACAAAGTTGAGCCGCACGCTGTAGTGGCACAGAAGCGTGACGAGCGAGTGCACGGTTCGCCCGTTCTTCAGGTCGCCAAGAAGCGTGATCGTCTTGCCGTTGACGGTTCCGAGTTCAGAACGGATAGTGTAGACATCAAGGAGAGCCTTTAACAGCTTCTCGTCAGCAATCTCATCCACGATACGAGCCTAGAGCCCCAAACTCACCTGCGTAGGATGCTCCCCAACCCCATCACCGCAGTTCAAAACCGGCACAGGCGAAAACTTCGCCGCATGCTGCGAGCTGCCCACATCCGGATGCCTGATCGCGATCGCGTCCGCATAGCACCCGACCGTGCGGATCGTGTCCGCGAGCGTCTCGCCCTTCTTGACGGACGACGTGTCCGCGGTGACCTGAATAACCTCCCCGCCGCAGCGCTTCATCGCCGCGTCGAACGACGCGCTCGTCCGCGTGGACGGCTCGTAGAAGAGCGTGCAGAGCACTTTCCCGCGCAGAATGTCCAGCGTTCCGTTGCGCTCGACCTGCAGCCGCATCTCGTGCGCAAGCGAGAAGAGGTCGTACATGTCCCGCTGCGTGAACTGCTTCACGGATAGAATGTGGCGGCGGTGGAAGGCCGGGTGCGGCGTGAGCGTCTGGAAGTTGCCAGGCTGTGGCATGAGCGTAGTGCTAGTCCCGAGCGTATGCTGGCTGGCGACGTCGGCAGACGGGCGATGGGACATAGGTGGCAGCGGTGATACGAATTCGGGCTTTGAGACCACCAGGGCAGGGGTCTGACGATCCGCCACGCCATGGCTGATGCTCGCACTCGAAATGTCCTTCGCCAGAGGCAAGGTCGACGACAGAGTACCGTCGAGGAAGAGTGTCTTGCCGTGGACGACAACACGGTGGACCGAGCCGGTGACAGTCTTGTCCAAAGGCGACCAGTTGGACGCTTTCCTAACGAGCCCATGCCGCCTGCCAACGACAACCTCGACGTGCGTGTTCGTCTGTTCCGGAAGCCCAAATATGCGAATCGGATTATCGTGCAGGCGGGCACGGATATCGTCGAGCGTCAAACGACCCTCAGTAACAGCGTTCAACAGCAGCGGCAGCGTCTCCTCGGCGCCAGACCACGCAGATGCAGACTCCCCAAGCTCGCTCGCAAGCCTGAACGGCGTCGCGCCAACAGAGAATGCATCGACAGCGTCCAGGTTCTTCCACAGCGTCTTCTGCACGGACGCCGACACCAGCGAGGACGACTCGGGGAACTGCTCCTTCGAGAAGAACAGCAGGAACACCGAGAGGTCGCACGTCACCTTGAGGTTCTTCGCCTTGCTGAGCGAGATCAGGAGCAGATCCTCCTCGCTCCGCACGTCCGTGATGTGCACCGTCCGATTGTGCAGGCTCGCGAGTAGCAGCACCGAGGCGAGGTCCGAGCCCTGTGCGTCCGCGACGATGAGTTTGTCCGACGGCCACGACGCGAAGTGCGCCGCAACGGTCGAGATCTTGGTCGGCGAGCCGGTGCCGCAGCGGAAGGGGATAAAGAGCGACTTGACGTCCGCGCGGATCTCCTCGTCGATCGAGTTCACGTTGTCGTCCGTCGCAGCAATACTCAGCGCGTAGTTGCAGTACGCATTCTGTGTCGCGATGTGCCGCACCTGTTCCAGCGTCTCGGCGTCCGTGATCGCCCCACTCACACCAACAGGGAGAACCAGCGACGCCGTAAAGCCCGCGCTGATAGACGCCGTCGTCGCGTCGCGCAAGGCAGCGGCAGCACCAGAGGGCGTGAGGTCGGGCACGAAGCTCGCGACATTGACGAGCCCAGGGAAAGTATGCGTGATGTGCGAGCTCTTCGAATCGATCGTCGACACGTCGAGCGGCAGCTTCCTCACGAGCGCCTCCGCGAGCATCTTGGCGTTCTTGACGTTCGTGATCAGCGGCACAGCAAAGTCGACGGCCATCCTCCGCGTCTTGTAGCCCTTGCTCGTGTAGCTCGCGGGGCGGCGGTAGTTGTTCTTCGATGGCAGGTTGATGTACATGTCGATGAGGTTGTTGGCCAGGTGCTGCGTGAGCGAGTACTCTGACTTCAACTTGTCGCCTCCGGTCTCGTCGAGCGACTCCAGGTACTGTTCAAAACCATCGTCAACATCCGCTCCTCGAAAAACCTATTAACAGGACACACCTTGCATGGAACATTATGCTCCGTCAAGAAGTCCGACGTCCCCGCCGTCGCAAAGATATTGTACCCCGCCGCAGCGAGTTTCTGCACAGACGGCAACAGCTCCAGCTTCTCCTTATAACTCCCAACCGAGAACAAAATATTCTTCTCGGGCGGCACAATCCCCGTCGAAATCAGCGCCTTGAGATACGCCTCATACTTGTCCTTCCCGAAACACGCCACCTCGCCCGTCGACGCCATCTCGACGCCCAGCACCGGGTCCGCGCCCGACAGCCGGCTGAAGCTGAACTGCGGTACCTTCACGCCTACGTAGTCCGCGGGCATCCCCGCATCGGGGTACGGCTCCACGGGGAGCCCGAGCATCACCTTGGTCGCCATCTCGATCGCGTCGATCCCGGTGACCTTGCTCACGAACGGGAACGAGCGCGCCGCGCGCAGGTTGCACTCGATCACCTTGATCTCGTTGTTCTTCGCGATGAACTGGATGTTGAACGGGCCCGTCACGTTCAGCGCGTTCCCGATCTTCGCCGTCGCCTCCTCGATCTGGCGCACCGTCGTCGGGTCGAGGTCCTGCGGCGGGTGGATGAGCGTCGCGTCGCCCGAGTGCACGCCCGCGTTCTCGACGTGCTCCGAGATAAAGTGCATGATCATCTTGCCGTCCTTGGCGACCGCGTCCATCTCGATCTCCTTCGCCTGCTCGATGTACTTGGTGATGACAACCGGATGCTCGCGCGACACGGCCGTCGCCTGGGTGAGGTAGTTCGAGAGGTCGTCGCGGGTGGACACGACGTTCATCGCGGCGCCCGAGAGGACATACGACGGCCGGACGAGCACAGGGTACCCGACCGCATTGCAGAACGTGTGCGCCTCCTCGAAGCTCGTCAGCTCCTTCCACTGCGGCTGGTCCACCCCGATCTCGTCAAGCAGACGCGAGAACTTGAACCTATTCTCCGCCGTATCGATCATCTCGGGCGACGTCCCGTAGATCTTGACGTTCTGGCGGAACAGCGGCAGCGCAATATTGTTCGGCGTCTGCCCGCCCATGGACAGGATAACACCGCGCGACCGCTCCGTGTCGTAGATATCGAGGATCGTCTCGAGACTGATGTTCTCAAAGTACAGCTTGTCCGCCTCGTCGTAGTCCGTGCTGACCGTCTCCGGGTTGTAGTTCACCATCACCGTCGGGAAGCCCTGCTCGCGCAGCGTGCGGATCGCGCGCACCGCGCACCAGTCGAACTCGACAGACGAGCCGATACGGTACACGCCCGAGCCAAGCACCATGACACCCCGGTCCTCGAAGTCGATATCGTGCTCGACGGCGTTATACGTCGTATAAAGGTAGTTGGTGAACGCCGGGAACTCAGCCGCGACAGTGTCGATCTGCTTGACGTACGGCGCGATACTGGCCTCCTGGCGCAGCCGACGCACAGCCAGCTCGGTGGAGCCAAGACAGGTGGCAATTAGCTTGTCGGAGAAACCAAGTTGCTTGGCGCTGCGAAGAAGGTCGGGACGAAGCGTAGAAATGTTCACATTCCTGCAAAACCGAGGCCGTCAGCACATACAACTCCACAAAAACATGCATAACACTCACAAAAGCTGCTTCTCCATCCTGTGCACATACTGCAGCTTCGTGAGGAACCACTTGTCGATGTTCGTCATCTGCCAGATCTTGTCGACGCTGTAGCCCCTATGGAACGCGCTCGCGATCGCAAAGATGCGCTTATCCGTCGGATTAACCAACTCCTCGTCAATATCCTCCACAAAGTCGTTCTGCACGCCTTCTCCATCAGCACCCCCGCAAACCTCAAACAACAAACAAAACGCTCGCCACTCACGTTCGAAAACCCAAGGAACGAATCATCAATCGCCCTAATCGCCTTCTGAATCGTCTCCTCGAAGCTCCTCCCGATGGCCATCACCTCGCCCACGGACTTCATGCTGCTGCTCAGCAGCCTCGACACGCGGCTGAACTTCTTCAGGTCCCACCGCGGGATCTTGACAACGCAGTAGTCGAGCGACGGCTCGAAGCACGCGGACGTCAGCTTCGTCACCGAGTTCTTGATCTCGTTCAGCGGGATACCGAGCCCGAGCTTCGCCGCGATGAACGCGAGCGGGTAGCCGGTCGCTTTCGAGGCGAGCGCGGAGGAGCGCGAGAGGCGGGCGTTGACCTAATTTTCGAGCATTGAGGGGACAACTTAGTCTCATCGCAGGGTGAAGTGAACGGAGAGCGCGTACCTCGATGATGCAGAACTCGCGCGACGTCGGGTTGAGCGCATACTGGATATTGCACTCGCCGACGACACCCAAGTGCCGAATAACATTAATCGCCGTCGTCCGCAGCATATTGTAGTCCGCATCCGACAGCGTCTGCGACGGCGCAACAACGATCGAGTCGCCCGTGTGGATGCCCAGCGGATCGAAGTTCTGCACAACATTGATAAGCGACAACGTCCCAGACGCATCGACAAGCGAAAAGAAAAGAGACCCACCTCCATGTTACAAACCGTGATACAATTATCCCTACAATCCCGCACAACCTCATACTCGATCTCCTTCCACCCCTTCATACTCTTCTCCACCAGCACCTGCGGGCTCGTCGCAAACGCCTTACTGCACAACGCCCTCAACTGCGCCTCGTCCTGCGCAAACCCCGATCCCAACCCGCCAAGCGCATACGCCGCGCGTACAATCACCGGGAACCCAATCGCGTTCGCCGCGCTCACAGCCTCGTCGGGCGTCGTCGCCGTCGCACTCTGCGCACACCGCTCCCCGATGCTCTCCATCGCCTGCGCAAACAGCTGCCTGTCCTCCGTCGTAATAATCGTCTCCACCGGCGTCCCGAGCACCTGCACGCCCATCCCCTCGAACTCGTCCCTCAGCTTAATCCCCACATTCAACGCCGTCTGCCCGCCAAACGTCACATATATCCCGTCCGGCTTCTCATACGCAATAATCTTGCGCACAAACTCGGGCGTCACCGGCAAAAAGTACACCTTGTCCGCGAGCCCCTTGGACGTCGCGATCGTCGCGATATTGGGGTTCACGAGGATCGTGTAGATGCCCTCCTCTTTGAGCGCCTTGATCGCCTGCGAGCCCGAGTAGTCGAACTCGCCCGCCTGCCCGATCGACAGCCCGCCAGAGCCGAGGATGAGCACCTTCTGCACCTTCGCTCGCGGCACCCGCTTGTCGTTGTCCTCCTTGCGCCCGCCCGGCAGCGTCAGCGGCGGCGCGTTGAGCGCGCCCACGGACGCGCAGTCCTCGACGCGCCGGATGAACACGTCGAACAGGAACTCGGTGTCCCGCGGACCGGGCGTCGACTCGGGGTGGAACTGCACGGAGAAGAACGGGCGGTCCTCGCAGTAGATCCCCTCGTTGCTCTCGTCGTTCGCGTTTCGGAACAGCTCCTTCCACCCTGCGGGTAGTGTGTCCGCGTCGACCTGGTACCCGTGGTTCTGACTCGTGATGTAGCACCGGCCCGAGAGCGCGTCCGTGCACGGAATGTTGTGCCCGCGGTTGCCGTACTTCATCTTGCTCGTCTTCGCGCCAGCCGCGAGTGCGAGGAGCTGGTGCCCGAGACAAATACCGAACACGGGCTTGTCGCCCTTCTCGAGAACTCCCCTGAGGCGATCGACGGTGGTCTTGATCGTCGACGGGTCACCCGGGCCGTTCGAGAGGAAGAGCCCGTCGTACGGCTCGGGGTCGCTGGTAAAGTCGTAGTCCCACGGGACGACCTTGAGTTCGACGCCGCGCTCGACGAAGCACCGGATCTGGTTGTACTTCATCCCGACGTCGACGGCGACCACCCTTAGTGGTCGCCCAGACGGGTGCTTCCGTGGGGTGCCCCGAGCCGCGTACACACGGGGCTTCTTGATCGACACGGCAGCGACGAGGTTGTCCTGGTTCGGATCGTGGAAGGGCACGACCGTGTAGTCCTCTCTCCACGAGGTAGACGCGGGCGGCGAGGGCGGGCGCGAGCCAGCCGGGGTCCTAGTCGCATCTAGGGACACCGTACGACTTCTGGCGTCGCTCTTGCGAGCCATGATGCGGGCAAGCATGGAGCCCTTTTCGCGGATCCTCTTGGTGAGTGCGCGGGTGTCGACGCCGAAGATGGCGGGGATGTCGTTTTCTTTGAGCCAGGCAGCGAGCGATGAGTCGGCGAGGAAGTGGGAATAGTCCTCGGTGTACGATCCGACGACGAGGGCGGCGACATGGATGCGCGAGGACTCGAAATTTTCAGGGAACACGTCCTCGGATTTGGGGCGAGTGGGTACACCGTAGTTGCCGATGAGTGGGTATGTGAGGACCAAGATCTGGCCCTCGTATGACGGATCCGTTAAGGACTCGGTGTATCCGACCATACCTGAAGGGGATGTAAACGGTGATCATTGTTTGAAGAGATGTCACGCGACATACCGGTCTGGAAGACGCATTCTCCTGCGACGCTCTTGCCTTCTGCACCAAAGCTGATACCCTCGAAGGAGGAACCATCGCTGAGCTCGAGAACGGCATTGTGAGTGGCAGGAGGAGAGTTGTCGTCTTTGATGGGGGTGAAGGTGGCGAGGGGAGCGGGGAGACCGTTTGGTCTGCCGTGGTTGCTGGCCAAGCGAGGAAAAGAGGGGCGTGTGATGACCGGAGCGGCCGATCCATTAGCGAACGACATGATCCTTGGATCTTTTTGAAGAAGAGAGTGGTATTGTTGTGTCTAAAAACTTACACTTCTTTCTTCTCCACCCAAAGGCGATTTCGGTGGAGAGGAAAGAAGAGAAGAAAAAGATTGCAAGAGGCCCTTGACAAAATCTTGCCCGCCTTCCTGTTTGGCCGAGTTTGTCAATCGATATATCTACCGCCAGCGCCTACTCCGCTACACGTGGCAGATCGATCTAATCTCGTCGCGTCGGTAGTCGGCCCCTGTCAACCCTAAAGTGATTGAGACGTCTGTCGGAATAAGATGTACACCATTGTACACCTTGCCAACAGCCGGGCAACAAGGCTGATCATCCTCATCTCACTCTACCTGCCTGGAAGACTTGAACTAAAAGCGGTCACACCCTCACAGTTTGCCTAGCCCCACGTTTCAAAGTAGCGCCAGCTGGCCATCAGCACATGTACATGCGAAGCACGGGCGGGAAGCCCAGCCTGCGAACCAGCAAAGCGAGACGCTTCTGTGCACAAGGGTACGGCAAGGCTAACCAATAGGTGCGATTCACAGCGCGCGCTAATGCTCAGCGCCCAGACCGTCGATGGGCGAACTCAACCTTGCAATACTCCATCGAAGAGGAATGTTCGTAATATCGCGAGGTAATGACGCAGTCAGGGTTACAATAACAGCATACAACAAAAGTACAATGACCTTCCGCATCCTAACAAGTCTCGTAATGATCATAACTTCTCATAAAACCGTCCAACGTGTTTCTGGGCTCCGGGATCTTCAAAGCTAATATCTATATAGAAGCCCATCCCGAAGCCCCCGATCAACAACTGCAACCTCGTGCCATCAGCACTCGCACTCGCCCAGCCTGCCCGGCGCCGAGAGAGCAGACTTACCAGCAACACAGCGTCCCCGAGATACATGCAAACAGGCCAACGAAGAAATTCGTTACAGCTAAGTACACCCATCCCCCGATCAGCGCTCCGTACTAGACCATATGGAAGACAGGGAAGGAAGGACGCACCAGCGACGATACACTCGAGGACGCCCGCGACCGCCGAGACAACGATGGCAAGCGCGTCCCCGATGCACGCAAATGTACCTGTAACGTACATCAATGGTCAGTCAGATTTCACTCGTCCGTGTTCAGAATCAACGTCAGCAAGAAGCCCAGCCCCAGCCGCACGCCAGGCGAGAAGAGGATCAGGAGACTTGGACGGTCGTCTGATAGGAACAGACAGAAGCCTGTTCACATACCCGCCAAACACGAGAATATAACGCTACGAACAGCAAACACCTGTCAGCGACAATCCCCTCTCGCAAGCGGAAATCGTAATAACGAGAGACTCACCCCATCGTCTACAGAGTACGCCAGGTACGTGTGGACTTGTTTCAAGTTGAGAGTAAGACGACAATGCACGCCTTTACTTATAGTACTCGTACCATGGGCACACCCAAATACGACGCTCTACCCTCACCTACCGGGACTTGGCCGGGACATGGGTTTCGCCCACGACGCAACGTGCACGGGAATGCCGTAGCCCGGCAATCGCGCTTATTCTGTTTGTCTGCGTATACCGGTACGAAGATCAATACAACGGGCTGGTGATGAACACTGAGTGCCGGCTCAGATCGTTCTCTGCGCAGCGACAACGTGTCGAACAGCTGCACGAAGAAGACTGACCGCTCGCATCAACCGGCTTCTGGCATTGATAAGCGAGTCAAACTCACCCGCGGAGTACTCAGCGTTGCGAAATCGAAGCTTGACATCTAACGTCATCCCAGCGGTTCCAACGGTAATCGAACGATCCAACGGATACCAACCGTCCCAATGGTAGTCCAACGCTCCAACGGCGATCCGACGCAAGAAAGATCAGTTGATAGGAACATTCATGCATTGAGTGGGTACTCAGGGGTATTAACACAGCAGCGTACAACAAATTACCGTACAGTCCTCCTTCCTCTCCTTCCGCATCATAAGAGCTTGAGTCCTCGCGATCGTAACTCGTGAACGCGCCCAACTGGTGACCTTCGCATCTAGGCTCCGGGATCTTGGCACTGTATGCACGTAGCACGTACGTACAGGCTCATCCCGGAGCCCCCGTTCACGGACAACTACAAAGCACATTCGCATTAGCATCATCGACTCCGAACTGCACTTCACAGAGAAAAGAACCCACCAACAACACAACGTCCCTGCAATACAATCAAATAGGCCAACGAAGAAGTCCGTTATAGCTAAGTGTGCCGTCCTTATCAATACCCCGAAACTGAAGGAACACGAGAACGAAACGCACCAGCCACGATGCACTCAATGCACCCCGCAATCGCCGACACCACAGCCATAATCGCCTCGCCAATGCACGCAAACGCACCTGTCACAACGGCGTCCGCTGGTGTCAGCTCTAGTCAAACTTCAAACGCCGCACGCCCGTGCACAGGCGCGTAACGTGAAGCAAGATGGGGGAAGATGGGAACACTTACCCGCTATACACGAGAATATGATCCTACAAACACCATTTCGCTATGTTAATCATCCGCTCTATGATCAAAGAGCATGTCCGACTGAACTTACCCCATCGCAGGCTGAGAGGGCACGCTGATAACCTATGTGCAAGGTTGAGCCAGTACACCGCAGGTCCGCCGATGTTACTATATATCCCCAACACACCCCGTAGTCGCATGACGCTACGCCAACGTCATGTGCGTGCAATGTGCGTGGGGTGCGGGTACCCTCACAAGGATCGAGCGCGATAAGTAAGTTCGACTCGCGGCGATAAGACACAAAACGCACTATATTATTGATAACGCTGCTGCGGGACTATATTTGCGCATCACATGGACTCGACGCATGTCCTTGGTATCAATGGTATGTCGCACGTTGCCTTGAGGCTTGAGGCGTGCAATTCTCTAGGGTGGGCGCCTTACTTGACCGTCCTTGGTTGTTTGAGAAGTAGATATTGTAGAAGTAGAAGTAGCCTGTGTATCGCGCATCAATATGCGGCATCGACAACTGCGACACGGACAGAGGGATATAACCAGTGATAAATGTCACCTGCATCATTTGGCTTTGATACCTTCTCACAACGCCATACTATAACTAGTAGGATCAGATGTAGGAGCTAAAGAAGCGCTCAGGTTGAGTGTTCGCATGCACCGGCTTCCTGCATCGGCAAGCGTGCTGCAATTCAGACCTACCCACGAAGTACTAAGAAGCAAGCTCTGAGGCACTAACGCTAACACCAATCACGCAAGGTCTAACGAGAGAAACCTCCATAGCATGATGAGGTATTCAGCGTGTCAACGTAATATAGCGTACAATAGAGTATATTCGCCTTCCACATCATAATCTTAATCATCCTCGAAATCGTGATTCGTAAACGCGTTCACCGCGCAAATTCGGTTCTGGGCTCCGGGATCTTGACTCTTTATCATTCATACAAGCTCATCCCGGAGCCCCCGCTTACGCGCAACTGCAAACCCACACATCAGCACCACTGCTCACCAAGTCGCACTCCGCAGACAGGGAAAAGGGACTCACCAACAACACAGTGTCCCCGTAATACAGTTGACAAGTCCCGCGAAGAACCCCGCGACCGCTACATACACACACAACCATCAGCGTTCCCATCGTCCCGAGAACTATGATGACAGGGAAAAGACATACCGGCAACGATACACTCAATACATCCCGCGATCGCCGCAACGACAGCCATAATCGCCTCGCCGATACATGCGAATATACCTGTAACACGCCGGAGTCAACGTCAACCAAAGTCCCGCACAAACCGAACGCCAGGCAATTGGAGAAGTGACAAGCGTCTAGCAGAAGGAGCGGTCACGTACCTGCTATACATGAAAATATGATCCTGAAAACGCACAATTCCTGTCAGTTATTGAACCTCACCTTGCAAAGTAACACACAGGACTCACCCCATCGCCGAACTTGAATATGATGATAGCTTATGTGCAAGGTGAGTCGATACTGCTCCCCGTTGTTCTTATACCATTGTTACCCCGGTATGACGTACGTGGGGTAGGAGTGCTCGCAAGCAATGGATGATGGACGCTTATATCGAGTATCCACTCATTGTCAGGAACAAGCCATGACGCGCGCAAAAATAGCGCTGCTGCGGACTTGATCACCACTTGAGCATGAGCTTGACGTATGTTCTTGCGTATGTTCCACTCTTCCTCATGAGGTGTGCGTTCTACCTTTGAAGTGCCAGTCAAATGAGCATGGAATGACACTGGGTGAATGTTTGCGTCATTTGAGCCCGGCGGTGCAGCGCCGAAGAGATGTCGGAAGAACCGGGACAGTCCTCCCGACTAATCACGATCATTGCAGCTCCTCAAACGAGCACCAGTATTGAAGCCAACGAGAACCAATCAAAAGTTAGGGTATAATGTGTTTCCCGATGAGATGTATTCCTCCTCCCTACTTTGCAGCGGAGAGAAAAAGAAAAGATTGGATGACATGAGAGAATGGATCACAACTCAATGCTAAGTATATAGGATAAGGGCGTGACGACGTGAAGACGGAAGGATTAACAAACAGAAAGGACACCAATAGAAGAGAACCTAAGCTTGATAAGAGCGAACGTGAGGGAAAGAAATGGCGTCCAAAGTGACAAGGATGTTTTGCATCTACTCTTCTTCGGGAGGGACCTCCTCCTCGTACTCGCCCTCCTCCTCGATGGTCGCATCCTGGTATTGCTGGTATTCGGCCACGAGATCCTGCATGTTGGACTCGGCTTCCGTGAACTGAACAGAACGATGAGCAACCGTCTGGACGTAGAGGGTGTAGTACAAACCTCCATCTCGTCCATACCCTCCTGGGTGTACCAATGAAGGAAGGCCTTGCGCTTGAACATGGCCGTGAACTGGTCGGAGACACGCTTGAAGAGCTCCTGGATGGCGGTCGAGTTACCCAAGAAGGTGACGGCCATCTTAACGCCACGAGGAGGAATGTCACACTGAGCGGAGAGGACGTTGTTGGGAATCCACTCGACGAAGTACGCAGAGTTCTTGTTCTGAACGTTCTGCATCTGCTCCTCAACCTCCTTCATCGAGACCTTGCCACGGAACACTGCAGCAACCTACAAAGACTCAGCGACAGTTCGACCATCATGATACGAAGGTGCTTACAGTGAGGTAGCGACCGTGCCTGGGGTCAGAAGCAGCCATCATGTTCTTGGCGTCGAACATCTGCTGAGTGAGCTCAGGGACGGTGACGGCACGGTATTGCTGGCTGCCACGAGCAGTGAGGGGAGCGAAACCGGTCATGAAGAAGTGGAGACGAGGGAAAGGAACTAACGACAGAACTTGTGAGAATGCAGGTGCTTCTCAAGAGAATATGAAACATACCCATGTTGACGGCGAGCTTACGAAGGTCAGAGTTAAGCTGACCAGGGAAACGCAAACAGGTAGTGATGCCGGACATGACAAAGGAGACGAGGTGATTGAGATCGCCGTAGGTGGGGGTAGAGAGCTTGAGGGTACGGAAGCAAATGTCGTAGAGGGCCTCGTTATCGATACAGAAGGTCTCATCGGAATTCTCAACCAGCTGGTGGACGGAGAGCGTCGCGTTGTAGGGTTCGACGACGGTGTCCGACACCTTGGGGGAGGGGACGACGGAGTACGTGCACATCATCCGGTCAGGGTACTCCTCGCGGATCTTCGAGATCAAGAGAGTACCCATACCGGCACCAGTACCACCACCGAGCGAGTGGGTGATCTGGAAGCCTATGGGTTTTAATTATCAGAAGGAGGCGAAATTTTGAAGAGCGGGAAAATAGGCGTACCCTGGAGACAGTCGGTACCCTCAGCCTCCTTGCGCACGACATCGAGGACAGCGTCGACCAACTCCGCACCCTCCGTGTAGTCTAGACGGATAAAAAAGACAAGGTCAGCGAAAAGTCCATCAAATGCCCAAATCAGGCGATGCGGGGGCGATCCAAACACGTTGCCGGGAAAATTTCCATAAACACGTTTACATCACGCGCGACGATCGCGTACTAAGGGGCGATAGATCTAGATGAAAAGAGAAAGGAATGGGATACTCACGTCCTTTGGCCCAGTTGTTACCAGCACCACTCTGCCCAAAGACGAAGTTGTCGGGACGGAAGAGACCACCAAGGGGACCAGAGCGGACGGAGTCCATGGTACCCGGCTCGAGATCGACCAAGACGGCGCGGGGAACGTACTTGTTTGAGCCAACCTCGTTGTAGTATACCGAGATACGCTCCAACTGCATGTCGTTGGTGCCCTTGTAGAGACCATCCTTCTCGATACCATGCTCGTCAGACACGACCTCCCAGAACTTGGCGCCTAAAAAGTGGATGGTTGAGGATTCAACGGATTGGGAATGCGAACACGTCGAAGCGTACCAATCTGGTTACCGCACTGTTGAAGCGATCAAAATACGGGCTCAGTGAGGTGTCGACGTTGGAAAGGAAGATATATGCATACCTGGCCGGTCTGGAGATGAACGATTTCACGCATGCTGCAAGAGAGCGTCAGAAAACGCGAACCCCAAAAAGTCGTAACCAGAGCGCGAAAAAGTGGAGCCCGCGCGCGTCGATGGATCGAGTGGCAGGAAACGCGCGGGGTCTGAGGATGTAGGGATGAAGGGAACAAGCGACACGTACATAGAGAGTTGAGGGAGAGAGCAGTTGAAGAAAGCCGGTCAGTGACACGAAGGTTGGTGCAGGCAAAAACGAGGACTTGGAAATCGGGTTGAGGGTGTACGACAATTTAAGGCGGAGTTTGAACAGGTGGCTGCAGCGTGTTTGTGCCACATTGCCAATGCCATGTTTTTGATGCGCTTTTCCAGACGCAACGCCGTCCGTTATCACAAGTCTCGGCCCCGCCATCACCTCTTTCTGCTAACGAGCGAGTCAACGTGCTGCTGCTCCTCGCTGTTCCAGTCAGTAGGCCCTCCGTCTGACCAACTTTGACTCTGAGACGCCCGACTTCATTTCGGAACCGGCATGTTGAGTAAACCCTGAACGGGACGACAATGACTAGGCTTAATCGTTTATCCGTGAAGTCTATATTTTTGCAGTCCCCCAGATTTATACGCTCTCAGCTTGGAGGCGCATGAATGAGTGAGCTGTTCATGCTCGTGGAGATCGTCGTCCTGGAGGAGAGCCGCGCTTGAGTCCATTAATCTAGCACACCCGAGTCGGCAGCTTTACACGATTCACTAAATGACCTGATGTGCCCGAACGGGCCGAACCCCACATTTACGGCGGGTAAGCGGCAGTGGCTGCCGTTGCCTTGGACGCCCATCCAGCAGATCTTTAGCACCAATCCTTTATCGTGACCATCTGATATCGTTGACCAAGTCATGGAGAGCGCCGAAGAGTTCGCAAAGAAGACCTTTGACTACATCGTCGTCGGTACGTTCCGATCCGGCGCTTCCTGATCAGCTTCGCGGAAGCTGACACGGTCATTTCCGACAGGCGGAGGCCTCGTTGGCCTGGCACTTGCAACCCTGTCCGAGGACCTCCTTCATTAACCCTCATGCGACTCATGATAGCTCTAGGTTGGCTCGTGATACCGCTGTCTCCGTCGGTGTTATCGAAGCTGGTTCTAAGAAAGATGACGAAACTATAACGATACCTGGTAAGTTGTCAGTCTGAACCGCGTTATACCTTGCTTCATTTTGTATGCCAAACGTCAGGCATGGTTGCGAGAAGGCTCGGTGGTAAGTGTCTGCAAGAGCTGCGGAAGTCTCAGAGTAACACCGATGCGTTCAGATCCCGAGTACGACTGGGCACTAAAGACAACCCCGCAGAAGAATGCCGACAATCGTGAGATGGCTATTCATAGAGGAAAGATGCTAGGTGGATCCGGCGGTTTGCATTTCATGATCTTTACGAGGTAAATACTCAACACCTCCCTAAAAATGACAACTTATGTTGGCAGAGGGTCTCGTGTAGAGTACGATGGTATGTTCTCCGAAGACTTTCTACTCGTGGATGCTCGTGGATATTTAAGGACACCATCCTTCAGGCTGGGAGAAGCTGGGAGTGAAAGGTACGGGTTTGGACTATTTGGAAGCCATGTTACTGACTTCTCTTCACAGGCTGGGGGTGGAATGCCATGCGTTCAGCCATTGATGCCTCCGAGGTGTGGACGCCACCGACGCAGAGCGCTGCGGCACATCATGCAGATGCAGTCGCAGAGAGCCACGGGAAGTAGGTAGCCTTCCGAGTGCTTGGAGCGACCTAATCCACATCCAACTTAGGGACGGATATATCAAAACGTTCGCTTTTCCGGAACACTCGGATCTCGTTCACCCATACGTGAGCACGCTGAACGAGCTTGGCATACCTACCAACAAGTCAGACGTACGTACAGTATTGGTAGGGCGGACTTGCACATGGCCATGCGTTGCTAACGTCTCGACAGTCCTCTGGTAACAACATCGGCGTATGGAGTGCAACGGGTTCCATCGATCCAATTACAAAGGAGCGGAGCTGGAGCCCCAATGTACGTCTCATATGTTCGATTTGTTCTGAGCCAACGTCTGATATTGGTCCCCCGTAGGCATATTACGAGAAGGTATCCCATCAAACCAATATAACGGTCCTGACGGGAGCGCGTGCCCATCGAGTGCTCTTGAGCGACGGAGAGGGCGTCGACGTACGAGCAATTGGCGTCAAGTATTCCGTCGGCGGCCAAAAGTACACCGTCAATGTTTCTCGCGAAGTCGTTTTATCAGCAGGCGCACTGCAGACTCCTCAGCTTCTGGAACTTTCAGGTCTGTCTCTCTCCCGCAAACTTGCAACGTAACTTCTAAGCGATACTGAAATAGGTATTGGCAATCCTAAATTACTGCGCGAGCTCGGCATCCCTGTACATGTCGACTTGCCGGGTGTGGGCGAGAACTTCCAGGTGAACATCAATTCTCCATTACCTGTGCTGATCACCCTAACGTGAACGAACACCAGGAACACTACTCACTCACCGTTCACGGCGAACTCAAAAGCGCAGATCACATCTCGCCCGAAGCGCTTTTCAACCCCGAATTCGCCAAAGCCGAGCTTGACAAGTACCACAAGACAAAGACGGGCATGTTCTCGACGCTCTTCGGCACTTTCTGCTTCGCCTCCGCGCGGCAGTTCATCCCAGAGGCGACGTTCACTCGGCTCCTCGCTTCTCTAGACGAGGCGTTGCAAGCACCGGAGATCCAGAGCTCGCCGTACAAGCCGTGGTACGACCTCCAGCGCGAGTTCCTCGTGCGCGATGAGATTGGCCAGATCGAGATTGCGTTCTCTCCTGGTACGTCTCTATCCCCCAACCATCATCTGGTGCTCATTGGAAATGGGAAATTAGCTTGGATGCACGAGGGGTGTAAAAAGGAGAAGAGCCGTCATTTTACTATGGCGTTGTTCATCCAGCGTCCTTGGAGCCGTGGCTACGTGAGGCGGACACCCTTTGAGCATCCCCGGCTGCAGGGCTCATTATTCTATAGGTTCACGCCAAGTCCGCGAACATCGAAGACCCGCCCGAAATTGAGCCCAACACCCTCACGTCGCCTGCTGACATAGGTAACGCCGGGGCGCACGCTCCATTACTCACCCTCCACTAACCATTCCCATTCTTACAGACACGATCATACTCGTAGAGGCAATCAAGTTCGCAATGAAGATCGCATCGACCGGAAAGTTCGGCGACCTCGTCGAGGAGTTCCTGGTCCCGTCTCCGACTTCTACGGACGAGCAACTCGTGGAGTACGTCAAGAAGACCGTGCGCTGTGCCCTACACCCTGCTGGTACGTTCATAGAGACCACTTCCCATCACGAATCAACTCCTTGGTCCGGTGCCTGAGCGCCATTACCTTGCCTCACCTAACCTCACCCCAGGGTCGGCGGCTATGCTGCCCCGTGGTGCACAAGGAGTTTTAGACGACGAACTCAAGGTCTATGGAACATCCAATCTTCGAGTGGTGAGTTTTCCCCCAGTTCGGCCTTGGAGCCATGGCACCCTACTGCCCATCGCACATTTATTGATTCTGTGCTAAATTTAGGCCGACGCAAGTATGTTCCCGACTGTGAGTTTTCTATTTATCTCCGGGGCCGTGATTCCCGGTCTCATATTATCTACAGGCGCTTGGAACGCATCCCCAAGCTACCTTGTACGGGTAAGTCCGATGATAGACGACGATGCTCGGGCGCTCGGCTGTGTGCTAACAACAAACTCTAGCCTAGCACACCGCGCTGCAGACTTTATCACCGGTCGTTAACAGAATATGTGCGCTTGTCTTGAGGGGGGCTTTTGTATCGCTTGTTGTCAGCTTGTATGTGTACCGCCGGTGTGCGTCTGCTGAATTTCATAGCATCACCAAAGCTCTTATCACCTCATGGTCCATGGCTCCATGCAATGTGCATGCCAGGTACGGCCCTGTAGATATGCATGGTCTATGTGAACATGACACTACAGGCAAACCGCCTCATTCTAGTGCCTAAAATCAACAAGAAAATGACCTGGAATGGAATCATTTCCAGCAATATTTTCCCTTGTCGAAAAGACGTTAAATAGTTTTCATGTTCTAGCCGATTTTCAGGCGGCGGAAATCAGATCCCCTTCCATTTATAGAAAGTCTGCCGGTGCGGAGACTGAAATCTGACACCAACTTGCCATTTTAGGACACTCGGCGTCTCAGAAAATATTAACTTTTCTGTCCTGCGGAAATCTACAAGAAAATGATTCCATTCCAGTTCATTTTCTTGTGGGTTTTCGACATGAGAATGAAGCGCTTTGCCTGTAGTGTGAACGTGTATGATATCCCAATGCAACGCCCTAATGCAGAACACCGACGTTGCATTGAGAATGTTACACGACAGTATGATCGGCATTTGCAAGCTTAAAACTCGACATCACTCAAATGATGAGTGATTTGGCCCCGATTGTCACGGTGTGAGGCTATGCGCGTTTCATTAAAACTGATTGAGTAAAATTGAACTGAATTTGAGCCCTCCGCCAGTCCTCCGCCGCACTTCGTTTGGGGGCGGGCGAAGCCCGCTCCCAGAGCATACGGCTCGCTTAGTCTCAAGTTGCCTTATCGGGCGTATAGGAACCATCCCGAGTGACACAGTCAAACACAGTCCAAAGAAATCATAACTCCTCCTGCACAACATACGCTATAATGTTCTAGAGACACTTAATGCATAGCTATGATGCATGTGTACAGTTCTCAGAGATTATATTCTCAAAAAAAGACATAGTAGACTTTATATTGCCTTCGAATGGCAAATCTTCCGCCAAAAGTCGATAAATTTCGCATTCCCTAAAACTTTCCATCGGCACATTCTACTGCTTCAAAAATTGAGATCTGATATATTTGGTCGACTGGCCACAAGTCTCAGTGACTACTTTTTTAAATTACGCCCTCATTCGATGGCACTCAACATTTAGCCCCATCTCTCAGCGACAGGGGCTGGGTCACCTTAATGTCTCCAAATAAGGTAGCTTGGTCTAAGCGACGGGCACGCCCGCTTCGCGGGCTTTGCCCGTCCCCACTTCGTTTCACCCGGAGAGACCTGGCACGTGACCGCTTTGGTCTCGACGAAAAAAGATTTCTGTTCTGTCGCGTTTGACTTCTGTCCACGCTCTGACCACGGACTCAACGCCTTGGACGTGCTAATGGCTGTGCCTGCAAGACACTGTCGTTCTTTTCAAGAGGTTATCTATCTGGTCATGGGCTCTATGCGCTCACACTTAACATCGCTCAGCTCCGAGCATGCATGACGTTGGACTCAGAATCACATTCAGGCCCTTCACTGCCGGGCGGTACGCGCCCGCGATGATGCGATCGCATCGCTTTAGCCCCCGTCCTTGAATCGTCCTGACAAACATCGACGATCAGCATGTCACGAGGCGGTGTCACTGTCAGGCGCGGGCACGGTGTTAGGCTGTCTCCTGTCAATCCCTGCAGCCACTGGGCGCTTGTTTTTGGCTACTGTGCGGTATTTAACTTCAGCACCTCCAAACTCGTCCTGCTCGCTTTTCATCTTTTGGAGGGGCAGCAAAGCGTACACTTCAAGGCCCAACATGCCGCAGAAATTGAAGTTTTTGGAGCCGAAGGGGACTGCGCCCCTGTCTTCCCCGCAGTACTCTCCCTACTCTCCGCCGTACTCCGCACGTTTCCGCCATTCAATCCATCAAATACCGACGCCTGGGGAAGAAGCAATCCGGCCGAAACGCTATGTATGTGCTTACAGTTTTGTCTCCTGCGAACCGTTCTTCATAATTCGTCTTGCTCCTATAGGAACCTTGGATCATTAACCTATGGGTGGTTGGAGGCGTTACTGGCGTGATGTTTGCCCTAGCCGTTACGCTGGAGATTATGCTTTACTTTTCCAATAGAGACAATGGTAATGCAGGATTCTCTGCATCTTCTAAACCGTCGTCTTCACAAATTTGATAGGTTTCTACGTGCCTCCAAACAACCCATTCAAGTTTGCATCCACCCAGTTCCTCTCTGTGAGTACGCAGTCCCTATCGGCTAACACGAAACTAATATCTCAAACCAGTCCTTTTTTCCGACACTCTTGGTGGCTCCCCTTGCATTTTATTGGACAGTGGCAGACTCGATGGTGAGGTGGTACCAGGTAAGTTCGCCTCACAGCATCGTGTTCAACATGTGTTGATCACGAACAAGCCTTACATCATCCTATCTGGAGGAAATGCGTCCGCTACTAACAGCATACTGCTGGACTATGTGAGGTTCCTTCGCGAGTTTATCGTCAATAATAACCAATATATCATCAGGTTTCTCTCAAGTCGGGCTTCCTCTGATGAACGGCTACACACATGCTGATTTTCACTCCTTACAGCCGGCTGATGATTCTATGGACGGCTTTCAAGCACCGGCATTGGCTCATCTACGCGTCCACCCTTCTGAGCTCCATCGTTGTTTTCCTTCAGCCGCTCGCGGGATCCGTCTTCACCGTAAAACAGGTGCCCCACAGCGTTCGTGAGTAAACCATACACAATGATGGCCGTCATGCTGACATACATTTTAGCCGTCAATGCGACGAGCATACGTCAGATTGGATTGTTGTGGGATTTACCTCAGCTATACGCTTATGTTTCATCGTCTGGGGTGAGTCCTCAAGGGTGGAGTATCGTCATGGTCAATGTCTGACATCTCACCTAGTACGCAGATGCTGCCGTGTACAACAATCTCACAGATCCTCCGTTTGTCCACGGGGGTTGGACAGCTGCAGAGTTCGCGGTAGGTTTATTCGTGATTAGCATGATTGTTTTATCTGAGTTTGTACAGTGGTCTTCCTATGAAGTCATCAACGCTACTTTGACCGTGAATACGACTGGCGTGGAAACCTCGGTCAATTGCATGCCTGCAACAAGCGTGTCCCTTGATTCTCCTTCGTCTGGATTGTCAACCTTGACGGCGTCAATGGACGGCTGCTCCGGCCCGACCGCAGTCTCTTTCAATGCTTCGAATGCTTCGAACCAGTATGGTAGCGTAAACGCCTCGGCGTGCGTGTCTTCAGGCGAAGCATTGGACATCAACTTCCAGCCCATCATGTTCTGGTGGTATTACCCATACCAGCCTAGCCCACTCACCGCTGCCGTGTTTTGTCACCCTACGATGGAGTTTCACAACATTCAGGCCGTACGAGATCTAAACGATGGATCTCTCCAATCTGTTCAGATACTGAGTCCGTACTCGGGCTCCGATAACGTGACTGGAGCACCACTGTATGGGCGACCATGGAACGGGTATGTCTGTTGCCTCGATAAGACTCTCCACTCCATCCACCATCCGCAGACTGAATTGCGCTAACATCGATTGTCTCAGGGTGGTGTTTGATCCGAGCGATGATGCTATCGTGAACGCCCGTGCAACATCCATTGGCACTGGAATCCCCGGTACAGTCTTTCGGTATGGAATCCAGCTGAACGATGGCGTCGTGTCTCTGTTCCAAGGCGCGAACGGTGGTTTTGCCAACGTCACGACAGGCATATACGTGGGTTTTCTCACGTCAAGTTTAGACAAGCAAGCTTTTAACCCTCGAATAGACTCAGCACCTCGCGTTGGCGGCGAAAGCAACCTACTTCATCAAAGAACCGACTACTGTGCCCGGGCAGCTCACTTCATTCGTCTCTCGACTCTTTATCGAGTAAGCCCGCGAGCTGATTCTCTCGGAGATCGCCTCTTGACAACTAATTGGTGAACCTTGCGCGCCCAGATCGTTCGCCTCCCACACGCTTGTCGCGTTCCTTCTCGCGATTGGGTTTATTGGCTTATGGCTGCACTGGATGCATGCACGTGCTCGAAGCCAGCTCCACCTCACCGCACCTCCGGGTTCGATTGCCGCCACCGCGGCGCTGACTTCTCGGTCTGGCTTCGGCGAACTCCTCGTTCCATATGACGACGAAAAGCGGATGGAGGAGAAACTCACTGGCCTACGATTCGGGATCGATGACAGGACAGGAGCAATAGTGGCCGTCGAGAGCGATATAGCCCTTGACTATCAACTCCACGGCCAGATCCCCGAGGGCATCACGCTTCTCGGGCGTCATAGCCCGCCGATGTCCGGCGAGATGGGAATTGGGTTGACGCCTTCGACTTCGCCGATGTACGGGTCGTTCAGAAAAGCACAAGAGGCGACCTGATTAGTCTCCCATAACGCGTTGTAGGTAGTCCGCGGACGGGAAGGCGTTTCTGAGGCGTTTCTGCTGTACCATTCTCCATTCCACTTCGCTCCATTGGCTCGTTTCTTTTGTTCGATCAAACTTGAGTTTTGCATTTTGGCGATCGCACTTACATTCTGTTATATCTTATCAGGGACTTGAGCAATTAATAGCATCGATTCACACTACGATTTTGGGCTATGTTTGGCCGAGAGAGGGGTTCATCAGAGCGCTGTTGGCTCCGTTGCGCACAATGCCGCTGGAGAGAGTGGCCTATCGACATCGATAACATAAACTTCAGCACAATCCCGGCCGTCCTCTGGCAAGTTGTGACTGCCCGATCTGAGGGGCTGGATGATGCCAGATTCGGATCAAGATCCGCACTCCGCTTCCGAGCCACTATAAGTGATAGCGCAGTGTTCCAACCTCCGTCCCTCACCCCTCCGTTTCATTCCTTGCTAGTTAACTCAAGACATGGTGAGCTCCTCGCCGTCCTGCGCGTCGTGCACGCCGTGTTCTCATCTATATATCCTTCCAGGGCGTTGAAATCGAGCGTATTACTCCGGGTGATGGCCAGACCTATCCCAAGACAGGGGGTACGTACCGCTCCGCACGCGACGTCTTGCTTTGTTCTCATATCTGGCCGTTATCGTTGCAGATACCGTCACCATTCACTACGTCGGTACCCTCTTGGATGGCACCAAGTTTGACTCTAGCAGAGATCGGTGAGCATCTACTATATCGCATGCATCTCAGCCCAATGATGCAATGTCCTCAAGGAACAAACCGTTCGAGACGGAGATCGGTGTGGGTAGGGTGATAAAGGGGTGGGACGAGGGTAAGTTTCCGATGCGCTACCACGGCCTCGATGCTTATCGTACGCAAAGGTGTCCCGCAACTGTCTCTTGGTGAGAAGGCTGTCCTCACGGCTAGCCCCGACTTTGTAAGTTGCATCACTCGACTGCACTCTTACTCTGTAGTTTAACGCGTCGTCCAGGCATATGGCCCTCGTGGCTTCCCTCCGGTGATTCCTCCTAACTCTACTCTCAAGTTCGAGGTCGAGCTCCTCAGGATCAACCCTCGGCATTAATTCTTCTTGGGACTGGCTTTACTTCGGTTTCGGTACTTTCTTGTGATGACCTGTATGATTACTTCATTCAGCCTTCAATGAGCATACACTTGCACGATTTGGCATTGCATTACGATTTTCTAGTGGCGCGATTCTTCATGGAGTGCTGCGTTGTCTCGTTTAGTTTCGTTGAGAGCTTCTTGGTGCTGCTCGTGGTCCGCGGCATGGAGCTCTGTTTTTGTCGGATATCGCGCACGTATCAATCAACACTGTGACTGGTTGTAAATCTCGTGTAAAATGTACCTTCAATCCAAGACGCGATGGTATCGCTTGCTTCCTGGTGATGGTACGGGATCGCTTCCATCAAAGTGTTTATGTCATGTGCTAGCGTGTGGTTCACTTAGCACGACACTCGCCGGACAGCCGGTGATTTGGGGCACACCTTGCTGCGCACGCGCTTCTTCCTTGACCTGGCGATCGTGTTCTAGACTTCTGTCCAGATATCGCACTCTATCACGTAGCTCGTCCAACTTGCTCATACACTCGTCCGATTTTTGTTTTCCTTGGACGGAATGCTCGTGGCATGTACGCGCCCCTGCGGCAAATTCCGCGTTGCTTGTTTCAAGAAGAACTTTGAGCGCTCCGAGCTGGTCGAGGACGGACGGATTAGAATTAGAGTTTGCAGGGGTGGCGGATGACATCTGCGATGAAGAAAGTGGTCCGATCCTGAGAGAAGAACTTCTAGATACTGCTAGCGAACGGTAAGAAGCTAAAGCGAGGAAGAAAGGCAAGAACAAAGGCTGCATGCAGCGATTGATCTAGGCGCTGTCGATGCCAAATCATGGAATTGCCACCGAACTCGTGCATGGTGGTCACTTGCACGAGGCTGGAGACTCGGACTCGTTCTGATTTGGGGTCGACCCTTTTCTGAATTTCCCCCGAAACAAAGACGATAGAAGTTCCGGTGCACACTCGTCTCATATTGTGTCATCCGCGGATAAGACATGACATCTTTCAACATCTTTCTCTCAGTTCTATAACCCGGGCTCACAGTGTCACTCAGATGCTCCTTGATAGAGAACAAGCTTTAGATAGTCCATGAGCATAAGCAAAGCATGATAGCGCCGAGACTTCGCGCGCCTATGGGGCTTTATACTGGGGAACGACTATCTTCCAACAACTATAAAGTTCTGCCTACGGGAGACTATATCTATGCCTTCGGCTGGTTAACGAGTGGAGGACAGTATAGTTTGGTGAATATGCAGATGCCATTAATACTGACTTCGTGTACATTTTCGTACGCATGTTGAATTTGTAGCCGCGCAGATATCTATCCAATTTCGAGACGTGCAGATCATTCAAGTGATCGACCTTATCTTCGTATCTATTCGCAAGCCTACTAGAGCCTACTAGCAACCCGATGATGACTGTTTTCGGAACCGTCAGAGGCTGCCAGGTGTGTTCATTATCAGCGCCACAAAATGCCATCAGATCGCACCATTGGTCTATCTTCTGAATGAGCGATCATGTCCTTGAAGCTGAAGCATGGTAGACTCGTGACCAGTCAGCGCTTCTGCGTTCCAAAAGAACCGAGCCCAAAGGGCTCTCGCGTCAGCGAGACTGGTGCACCTCGACATGCCTTTGGCACGGTGCCCACGGAGTTTGAAAATAGCGTATGAGAACGTATTAGTCACCTCGGCAACGCTTTGCCGAGGCGACCTTGTAAGTGCGCGACCTGTCAGATGTAAGGGCGCGCCCAGCAGACGCGTTCTGCTGCACGTACTTTTGAATACATACCTGCTACACCATCCCATCCTGCGTGAACGACTGCAATGGCGGCTGCTGAAGAGCAGCTGCCCGTCTTCTATCCCCCGCCTCAGGTATATTGGCCCTGCCCGCCAGAGGTGTATCCTCAAAACACACTGGACTCCTTCCTCCTCTATGCGCTCTCGGTATCTGGCACCACTGCTCTCGAGCTTGCACGACGCGATCCAGCACTCCAGTCAAAACAAGCAAAAGTCGAAGCCGCAATCAAGCTCCTCGCAGATGCACGGACATCCCCTGCTGAGCTACTAGCAGATATTGCTCTGGCTGCTCCTTCAGGCCACTATCTATCGGACTATCGGGCGGGCTTGCTCAACAGTCGAGGCCTCGACTATCTCTGGAACTCGCTCTCAGTGCTTCCTGGGTGGAAGCGAAAGGTTCTGGCCATCCTTCAAGTGCAGGCTGTGGGCTATGTTATTGATATGGTGGACCGGGAGATGCAGACGGCTCTCTTTCGTATGTCCTCACTCACGGTTACCACTCAGTTTCTCCAGGAGTTCGACCTCGGCAACATCACTCAGAGTATCAAATCGTCTCTACCCGTAGCTTGGGACCTTGTTACATCGATTATCCAGCGCCGGCGAGTTCGCACTGAGGATCTTACACCAAGAACTGAGGTGGTATATCTGACTATGTTCTGTCGGCCCTGGGCTCTATTCTAATGCTTTGCTAGGTTGCTACAGCTCTGATCTCTCAGGTCTCCCACCTTCGATCACAGAACAACATGGTGTTTCAATATCCCTTTGGTCTTATGCTCCTTGGGCTCGGTCTCCCCCCTCGCGCGATTAACATCTTCTCGACAGTCGGCCTTTGTCCCGCATACACCACGATTCGAAAAACGTTTCAAGCACTCTCTGATGAGCGTGTCGCTCTGGCTCGCCAGGTGGCTTTGGGGTTTCACGGGATCCAGTGGGATAATGTCCACATCTCAATGTCTGAACACCCAACTCAACGAGACATGGCTCGTGGTAAGGTAACAACAGGCACTCAGGGCACTCTTTGTCGACTTCCTGATGTTCCGCACTCGGTGGCTTACTCCCTGCATGAGCATCTCGTTCGGCGCGCTTCGCTTGATCTAATCACGTACAAAAACGATGTTCGAACAACTCTAGCTCAAGGGGTCGACATCTCATACCACCTTGTCATTGATGTGGTCAAAATCCTTCGAAACTCGGCCGGAAACGCGTTCGATTACTTGGGCAACCCAGACGAGCTTTGCCACCGCTCGTATTTGCCATTACCAGCGGGACAAAAGGCAGACCAATACCCACTGCCAACGACAACAATTGACGAGTCTACAACCATCGGAAACATCGAATTTCCCCACACAACGTACACTGTAACGCTCAAGATAACACCCAGTCATTTTGAGGGCCTCAACATACCACTCAACGCTGATCAGTCCACTCTTGCACGCGTTCGAAGCGCTATGGAGCTACGAGCCGGCGATGAAAATGCTTTCCACCGCCTAGAGGTGTTCCAGCTCAGTCCAGGTCCTTTTCACATTTAACTGAACCTCGCCTGGCAAAACGTCGCTGTTCACCGAGGCGATATTCGCGATCCTGGCAGCTTGGCATGGTGCATCAACATCTTGAGACTTTCTCGGCTTGGAAGTGACAAACCGGACTACAAGCTCATGACTTCGCTGTTTACTCAGGTTCTCCAGGCTAATTTACTCGTTTACTGGGAGAGAGAAACTGGGATGACCATTCGAGAGCTTGCACAAGCGAAATTGGGTGCCTCTGAGCTCTTCACTGTTGGTGAACACATATATCTCAAGTATTTCTCTGACGAGGCGATCCACAACCTTGGCGAGGGCCCACAGGTTGACCAGGCGTTTCGAAACATTGTTCTGCTAAACCGTGACTTGCTGACCTTCTACGAGCTCTCTCTGGGCGTCTCCTCGGGTGATTTTGGTCGACTCGAGCTCTTTCTTGGCACTCTGACTGAGGGATTTGCTGGGGCACAGCGACATAACTATGTAACCGAGATGCTTCACCTCATTCACAATCTAAAAAAGGTCTGGACTCCGCAGTTTGCGTACGTGTTTTTTGCCATATTTCTTTTCAATGCCTTTCAGCCTGATATTCTCATAGAGACGTTATGCGTCAGTTTATGCTAATAAATACTTCTGGACGTCCGAACCATGCTACTGGCCGAGACATGGACATCGAGCATCTCATTAATGCGATAAAGGTTCGCTTTCTACATAGTTTATTTCCTGGTCTAATTTCCGCTAGACTTTCTGTCAGTGGAAAGGTGTCCGTGGCAATTGGGGCCAGCTAGCCACCTACGCACCCCTCGTTCCTGTCCTCCGCCCGCTCAAGTTTCAATTCACAAAATTCTTCGGTGCTTGCTGGGGAGGGACAACTCACACCAAACCTGACACATTCAGAAGTGTTGACCGGCTTATGCGCAAGATTCGCGAGACAGGGATCCATATTCCTACACCCGGACGGACTACCCACAAGCAAACCATCAATGTCATTGCAGTAGGTATCGACTATCTGATGAGGACAGGTATCCCCAGCTGGCAGAAATCGTATCGCCGATGGGTACAGACCAACCACTATGAGTTCAGCGACAGCGAGCCACCAGCAACACAGGGTAATGGTGACACAGCAGAGGGTAGTGGAACAGGATATGCAGGAGGATTTCCCGAAGACCTCGAGCCAGCGGCATGTCATTTTGCCCGAAGATGTCGGGCCAGCGGCATGCGGCCGCTGCTGCCCCAGCACAGAGATTTCACCACTGTAGCTGGTGCCTGTCGAGGCGGCTGGCCTGCTGTTATTCTGCCGGCATTAGTGGGGTGTGTCGGGCTGGTTACACAGGGCCCCAGCACTGCCTCCGGTCACATTGATGCGTGCTCACCGTCATTTCGTCGGCCTCAGTGGGACGTGTCGGGCTGGTTACACAGGCCCCCAGCACCATTGTCCGGCCACATTGGTGCGTGCTCACCA